TATATTATTAACATTAATATTTTATTTTTTATTAAAAAATTAATACTTTTTTTTATGTTTGCAGGCAAATTTGCCTGTTTTACAGTTTAAGGGATAATAAGCATCAAAATTAATGATGCCTGCTTAAATTATTTTTATCATGATTAAACTTTCGTCAAATTTATATTTAACTAAACCTTTGACTAAAGTCTAAATCATTAACTAAACTTTTAGCAAATGACTAAATGAATAAATGACTAAATGAACCATGTAGCATATACCAAAGATGCTTTTGTTGCAACAAGGATGAATAGGTCCTAGAAAAAAACAATTGGTTATAAGGTTAACGTCTTTTATTAATAAAGATGAACAAGAGATACTCAGCAAATGGTATTTCAGAAATTATGCTGATTCTGCCTTATGAGAAAAACCAAAAGGACCATTATGCATTTTCTATTTGAAGTTCGATTGCAAACTTAATTTTATCGAAATGTATTGGGATGCAGAAGTGTTTTATAAGAAATCACTGTGATTACACATGGAATGGCTTGCAAGAAACTATTCTGCAAGCACTTGATTCATAAATATTACTACAATTAGAAAGTATGCCTGGAGATACATGCAATTGTATCATGAAGGATTAACAGGAAAGTTAGCTAAATATGCATGTAAAAAATTTAAATCATACAGGCGGATTCCGCAAGATGATTTAAATACATTTATAAAAGAAAGAGTTGTGAGAAAGGGTGATAATATAGGAATTATTAAAAAATATAACATGCATTAAATCATTTAAATTTATCAATAAATCATGCATTATACTTAATTTTATTGCTGTTTCGCTTAACACGTGGCATAACTTATATTGGTCTCGTGATTTTTCAAAATCTCGGAAATCGGGACAAATCACGTGATTTCAGTCTTTAAGAGTCGCGCACTGTATTTATTTATAATTGATAAAGTTCATCGCTGAACAGATCCTTTTCTTATTGTAGAATCCGATCGTTAAAAGCTTATATACCTTGGCGGAATCGCTCGATATAGAATTGTCTTCTTACCGGAAGAAAATAATTGTAATCCGATCAAATCAGCCTTTCACTGAAGTTAAAGTTTGAAACGGATTGGCAAAAAGTTTGTGATTTTATACTATATTTAAAATCCCATATCCCATATCATTGCTGCACAAATGAAACTTTATCCCTTTATGTTGGCGGAGATGACCTATAAAAACAACTAGAATTTTTTTGAAAATTGGGTTGAAGGTATGTTTTCATTCGTCTTTGTCGTTACCAGTGTCAATATTTTTTCTCATATTTAAACAAATTTTTTTTTTTTGGTAATTTTGATACCGACATTTTATATAAAAAGAATTCTATAGCTTTATAGTTGTAATAAATAAGAATTGATTTTTAATTAAAACTTTTGAGCCACGCATTTATGATCTAGTTTTATATATATAGTGTTATTTATAAGTTAGTCGCTTGAAAATCAGCTTTTCAAAATTGCTTCGCTCAGCCCTTTAACTTCTTTCTATTTTTAGTTTGATTCCTCAATCTTAATCTCTAAAGTTATTATTTACTGTTGTAATAAACAACGATGAGAGCTAAGATGAATAAAGAAAATTTTCATGTGTTTCTAGCATGCAATTACTGCGCTACCTTTGTTACGCTTTATTTTTGAACGTGTGTATGCGGATTCAGAATAGTTTATTTAATACATTACTCGGAAAATTTGAAACCATATGGTTCTGCTTCCACAATATATAAATATAGCAAAAGAAGTTACGGCAAAAAATATTGGAGACGAAAGATCTGGACAAGGCCAATTAAGGTATGAATAATTTTTTTGATGGCTGTGCATATGCAATGAAGCAACTTTAGAGCTTTCAAACTTGTATCCGATTTTTCGTTCCAGTATTCCGAGTCGTTTTAAAATTATGAAAATATACAATAAGGTATTCACAATTTTGAAGATTATGACATTAAATGAAAAAAAAAGGCTCTTTTTAATTCAATTCTTGAAGCCACAAAAGAGCAAATATTCAGTAGAAATAAATTTAATTAAAAGATCTACATAAAAATATTGACTGATTCTAAATAAATCTCTTTTAATTCTTTAGTAGCATTAGAACTTTAATATGCAGATTCTTTAATAAAAGTTGTTTGGAATAAAACCAATAATTTTTTTTTTTATCGCAAGTTCTTTTTATTGATTATGTCCGATATTTGTTAAAGAATTTGTTTTTACACATATTTGTAGGCTGTGTGTGTCGTGTGCATCGGAAAAAAAGTTTAGTTTGATAATGCACTAAGCAATCATTTTACTGCGCCCTTGAGACAGCAAAGTTAATCCATTTATTTTTAAGAGCCTTATTCTTTGAATTTAGAACTTGTATGCGATGAAAATCAAAAAAAAAAAGAATTTATTTATCTAAAACACCTTAAGAGAAACAAAAAACCCACGATCTCAAAATCAATTTCAATGCATGAAAACGGTACAAGATTAATTAATTACATCATTTTTAGAAAAACTCATCATCGTTATTAAACGAAGCATGAGCCAACCTGAATTGACTTCTTTTTTTAAAAAAAAAAAAAAAAAAAAAAAAAAAAATTCTAAAAGCGATATACTGTCCGAAACTTTCCTTAATCGTTACATTAACTTTTTCAAAACTTTTCTCAAAAATATTGAAGGTAAAAAAAAAAAATTATTTAACGTTAAAGAATACATAAAAAAAACTATAGTTTGTGTAGCATAGTCTTTGGCTCAATGGTCTAGTAGTATGATTCTCCGTTCGGGTCGGAGAGGTCCCGGGTTCAATTCCCGGTTGAGCCCGATTACCATTCTATTTTTTTTCTTGAAAATATTAAAATTTGGATTTTCCTTAACTTTATTCCTCTTTCATTAAAGAAATGAATTTTGGTTTTACTTTCAATTCTTTCAAATTTTGAAATCAATCTACATGTTAAATTACAACAGAGGAGTATGTCAATTTTGATATAAAACTATTGAAAGATTACAAATAGGATCATATTATAAAAGTTGCAAGAAAATTACGTTGTGTAAATCATTTAATTTTTTCGTCCAAAAATTGTAGTTACTTTTCTTGGTGAGTTGTAAACTTTTTTAATGTCTATTGTTTTTTAAAAAAAATATGATAATATATATACGTCTTACGAAAAAAAAAACGCGAGTATAAAAAAAAAATAAAAATAAAAATAAAAAAAAAAATAAAAAAAAAAATTTATAATTTATCAATCATTTCATATCGATATTACTGTATCTGTAACACATTAAATTAGCACATTTTTTCCTAATGAAGATTATTATTGTTACAAATGCATAACCGTTTTCGTTATTTTCTTTTATTAGTTTTATCATTTATCTTTTTCACATAAAAATGGCACATAGTTTTTTGCATTCACAAAACAGATCTTCAAATAAAAAATACAAATTTTACAAATTTCAATATGAAACTTCGTCAAATATCACATCATTTAATGGGTATTTAAATCCGTCGTGGAATTATTCCATTATATCTTTAAGAAGATTAATGGACCATGGAGTAGATGTAACTAGATTAAAATTTAAACCAATAACAAGCTATACTATTACAAGAGATAATAAATTGGAGAATATTGTTGGTATTTGTGAATTATCGATTTCATTTGAGACCAATGGTGGTCGAGGGAGAAATGATGGAGGATCTATTTATTCGTTTAATCATGAAAAAGTTGAAAAGAATATAAGAGAAGTTTTGGTATTGAAAGATTCTAATGTGGAATTTGGATTAGGAAATGATTTTATTATGGATTATAATATTAATATTGAACCTAATAATAAAGGGGAGTTTACTCATCAATTGAGTTTTGGAGATGGTGTTACTGTGGGTTTAAGAGAGATTGAATTTGATGGTAAGCCTTATAATGTTCGTGAATATTTAAAGCTATGATGTATATATGTAATTATTTATTTATTAAAAGAAACTTAACGTTCGAATTTTATTTTTTATTTTTTTAATCTAGGAGAACGTGACGAGGAAATGAGTGATGAGGATGTTGTAAATGAGAACAATAATACTGATGATAAGATCGAAGAGAAATCAAAGCACAGATTTAAAAATTCATTGTTCAAATTGATTTCTCGAATAGGATTATCTAATCTTTTCATGCTATTTCTAATTTCGACAATTTTAATTTTATATAATTCTGATACTAAGGTAAACGAGATCTTTTTTGGTATTAGAAACTTTATGATTTTTTTTTTCTTTACTAACATTTATTAATGTGAAATTATAAACTTTATTAGTCTCAATCATTGGTTGAGGAATTACTTATTATACCTTGTATGTTATATTTATTTAAATTCTATTCTGCGTTCAACATCATACTAAAGTTTTGTTTTTTTTAAAAAATAATTCGCTGCCATAAAGATAAATTGCCTGAACCCGGGATACAAAATCAACTTGAAAGCTATGTAAGAAAATTAAAAACCACAACATCATTTCTTGAATTATATGAACTAAATCAACATCAAAATCCGAGAACCTCGTCAAATGATATATCAACGACACAAAAAGAAGATGATAAACGAGGACAAGAGTTATACACGTACCTAGTAGAATTTACGAAAAGCATAGATAATACATCAAGAACATTACTGGATATGTATTATCAAGAATCATCATACTTTTGGATATTTCAGCAAAATATTAAAAGATTGTTAAATTACTTTCCCTTAAAAAAGGGTTCAACTTTTCTTTGGAATGTACTTATTACAGGAAGTGATTATTTTCCATTAACAAACAATTTTGACGATTTAATTAATGATATTGATGACGTTATTATTAATAATATTGATTTAGTAATGAGAGAAGTGGACAAAGCACAAGATTACCATGATGAGATTATTATTCAAGTAGTAAAAATGAAAATCGAATTAGAAAAATTTATTAAAGATAGTAGTAAACCATTTTCTTCTTGGTTAAATGCTTTAATAAGATTTGGTAGAATAAAAGGTGGAAAAATTGATAATTTAGGCGAAGTAGATTATAATACGGCTTTAAAGGTTGAAAAATTATTAATAGCTTTATTTACCGATTTAATTGAAATCTCGACTTATTTCACAGATTTAAAAGTTTATTTGGATAATCATTTAAATGATTTATTGTTATTTTCAGAACATTTTAGAATAACTAAAATTACAAAGAAAATAACTAGATCTGAAATTAATGTAATTAAAAAACATTTAGATAAATTACAAAATAATCATAAAGCTATATTTGATACCATTTTGATGATGGAGGATAATGATAATAAACCTTGGGTTGGGTGTAGAATTAAAAAGAAACTTAATCAAAGTATATTTGAATGTAATAATTAAAAATGAAAAGAAAACAAATTTTTAGAAATAATAAATAGAATTTATAGAATTTATATATCCATTTAATCTAATTATATATTTTAAGTATTTTATATTAAAAATTTTTTTCTTTATTTTTTTTTTTTTTCATATAAAATTTATACATTTAACAAAATATGAATTTACATTTTTCATAACATATCAGATATATAAAATTTATTATTTTTAATTATTTTTATTAATAATTTTATTAAATAAATTTTTTATATTAAAATTTATAATATAAGTTAAAGATATGATATTTTATAATAATTTTTATTATTAATATAATATATAAAAATTGAATTTTTATAGATTTAATTTAATTTGATTTTTTTTTTTTTTTATAATTTGTATTTAATAAATAAATAATTTTATAAATAATTTTTTTTTTTTAAAATATTATTTATATTAATATTTTAATAAATTACAACAATATTTTAATAATTCTAAAGTTTAATATAAAAAAAATTTTTATAATATTTAATATATTAATAAAAAAAAAAATATATTAATATAGTAAGTAATATCATAAGATATTTAATAAAATTGATAATCTTTAAATGTTAATAAAAAATTATTAAGAAATTATTTTTAAATAAACTTAATAGTAATCAATACTTCTTAATAAAATCTATTTAATTATATTAAAATATAAAATCAGATTGTTGTATTAAAATATATAAGCTTTTAAAATATAAAATTTTTTATATCTATTTTGATTTATTCATATAATTTTACCCTTACATTATATATTTCTACCTAGAATTATATGTGTAATATAATAAATTTATATAAATATGATAAGTTCTATAAAAAAAAATTTTAATTTTAAACTTATATTACATTTGATTTTAGTTAAAATAAATAATTTTTAACTTCATAATACTAATGTAATATTAATTTATAATCAAATAATATCAAGAGTAAAAAAGAGGTTTTATACTTATAAAAAATAAGTTATAAAAACAAAAAAATGAAAAGTATAAATAAATTAATAAAAATCCTTTTAATATTTATAATTCTAACCTTTTTGTAGTCTTTTAAAAATACAAATGATAATAGAGAATATAATTATTCTGATAATGAAAATTTAAATGCAGAATTTAAATTATAAAAGGATATTTTAATAAAGAAAAAATTTTATTTCAAATTTTAGTTAAAAGTTTTAAAATATTTAAGTATTCATTTATATTCACACAGTATATAATCACATCTTTATATAAGAACTCATTTTTGTAAAATGGATTTAAAGCTTATTAAATTACCTCTATATAATTACAAATCAGTTATAGTCACTATTACCTTGTAATTTATAATGTGCATATCATTTTTATTAGTAATTAGACCTTTTTATAGTCACAGATTTTTGATTAACTTATTTTGATTGATTGCAGATTAAAAAAGTTTAATATGAAGCTTAATTTTAAAATATAATATGAGAGAAAATGTGTTATATAATATATTTAAAGTGAAAAAAATCAATAGCATAATCATTTTTATTCTGTGACAATAATTTTTTTCCTATATCATTCATATTAATAAAAAGAATGATATTTAAAATACAAATATACTTTTATTGAAAATATCAAGTGGTTAAAATATTATTGATTTCTTTAAAACTCCTTTTCAAAATTATTTCTGAATGACCTCTTATTATCTATAATAAACCTCTTCTAACAAATTTACATCCTTATTATTCTAACTCAAATAGTGGTTTATAACAATATTACCATTATCATTATTAGTTATCTTTTCTAATTTTTGAATATTATAATACTTTTTAACTGATTTAAATAATACTATTCAGCTATAAGCATTAGCCTCAAGTATCAAATTTGTGAATAGTCAAAAAATAATAAAAATAAAAAACGCGAAGAAATTGCTGACTATTTTAATAAAAAAAAAAATCTAACTTTAAACATTTATTATAATATAGTAACAAAGATACTATCATAAAGTGAAAAGTGAAATTTTACATTAGATATTGAAGGTTCTAAAAAAATTTACAAACATAAAGAAGTCAAGTTTCTAGAACTTAATAGGACTATATATTTGTAAATAGAAAGTGTAACAATAGGTGATGTATCTTAACAGATTCATTAATAAATAAAAGGCGAGATTTTTGCTAATACATTCAACATACAAGAAGATGAGTTAGTATTCTTCAATGGTTGGTTAAATAGCTTCAAAAGACGTAATATTATATATCAGTATTGAATACATAGAGAATCAGAAAGTACACTAATAGCATCTCTTCTAGAAGAAAGAATCAAGCTTTATCAACTTCTAAGTTAGTATACTCTTGATAAAATTTATAATATTGATAAAATAGGTCTTTATTATCAGATGTCTCTAAATCAAATCTTTTCAACTAAGCCAGTTCGTGGTGAGAAAAAAAATAAAATATGAATTATGATCCTTTTTGATACAAATATAATAGGAACTAATAAGCTCAAACCATAAATAATTGGTAACGTAAAGTATCTAAAACCTTTTTCAAAAATTAATATAAGAAGACTTCCAGTTTATTATTGTAGAAATTTGAAAGCATAGGTGAATTTAACGATTTTTGAAGAAGTATTTTGTGAATTAGATAGTTACTTTAAAATAAAAAATAAAAAAATTTTGCTTCTGATTGATAACGCTCTGTCATATTTTGATCTAAATTTATCAAACGAGCAAAATGAAGATAGCGCTAATAAAGAGACTGAATTTGCATCAACCTCTAGTAAATTTTTATAAAGAAAAATAAGTTATTGATTATAAAGTCTATTATTCATTAATTAGTCTTTAAATATAAAGTTTATTATCAAATTATTAGAAAATTAATTTTACAAAGCCATTTAGTTTATTAGTTTATTTAATTTATATTATATATATATATTTATTTATAATATTATTTAAATAAAAACAATAAAAAATAAAAAAATAAAAAAAATAATAAGAAATAAAAAAAAAAATTAATAAATTAATAAAATTAAAATAAAAAATAAAAAAATTTGTTTATTATAATAAATATAATATAATCGTTAAATATTTAACTTACTAGAATTTTTTTTTTAATATAGGAAGTCAAGCTTTAGAAAGCTGTAATAGTAAACTAAGTGGATCTAAAGGTTGTGATAAAAGCTATAATAGTAAACCAAGCGGATTTAAAGGTTGTAATAAAGGTTGTGATGATAAATTAAGTAGAGGTTATAGTAGTAATTATAGTAGAGGCTGTAATAATAAACTAAGTAAAAGTTATAATAGCAGTCACAATAGAGGTCGTAATAGTCCTAATATCTAATAACTTCAATTAATTCATATTGAGGTGACCTTTTTACCTCCTAATACTACAAGCCATCTTCAGCCACTTGACATTGAAATTATTACAAGCTTTAAAAACCATTATAAGAGGAATTTTTCCATTATATGTTAAACCTATTTAAAGATAGAAAAGATATTTACAAGAGAAAATCAATATTAAAAAAGTAATCAATTATTTAGTAGATGTATAGAAGTAAGTAACTGAAGAAACTATTTACAACTGTTGAAAAAGACCAGAATTTTACCTTCTTCAATTGATAAAGATATAAACAATATAACGCAAATCTAACAAAATTTAGTGGATCATAAAGAAGTTAAGATTAATCAAATAATAGAAGAAATTAAAAAAATTTAATAATGATCCTTATAATGCTTTATTAAAAAATATATTAATTGATTATTTTCAGAAATTAGAAGAAGTTCTAACTGAAGATATTCTAAATGATAATGATATTATACAATTAGTTCAAAAGGAAATATATGAAGATGATGATAATACTAATAATGATTCTGAAGAAGAACTAATGTTAATATTTCCAAATGAAGCTCTTAATTCTTTACAAACTTGGATTATCTTTTTTGATTAACAGCCTATTAATAAATTTAATATTGAAGATGATTATATTTTTAAAAAATACTTAAATGTAGTAAGGCGGCTTGAAGTTCAATCTTAAAAGCAAGCTCTGATTACTGATTTTTTTAGTAACTATGAAAATTAAATAGGAAATTATGTAATTTGATAATATCTTTTTTACATAACTTAATAAAGATTATACTACAGTTTCTAAAGAGCTATATCATAATAATTATGATAAATAAATAACGTACACAATAATATTTCTCATGATATCAAATGCTAATTTTACAGAATCAATGATTTTCATGACTGCACTGTAAAAATCATAATATTTATGGATTCTATTATGTATTAGAGAAATTGTAAAAATTATTAGTCATGTAATAATTTTCATTTATTACATCACGTAAATTAACGAATGAGAATCAGTGTTTTATTTTTTAACATTTCTTGCTTCACAAATGTATTGTGTGATATATAAATAGATGATATAAAGCTTAATAATATTAATTTAACTTCTAAATAGTCACTATCTATTTGATTATAATATAGTTATGATTATATGATTATATAAAGGTAATCTTTTACAGTCACACCTTTATATAATCACTGATTTTAGTAGAATTAATTGTGTGATTATATAGAGATCTGACTGTATTATGAAAATTCAACTAGAACTAAAAGAAAGAAGAATAAATATATATATAAAGCTATAAGACTTATTAGATAAAATTTTTAATAAATAAAAAAATTAATGATAAAAAAAATAATAATGAAAGAAAGAAAGAAATAATGATAATGAAAGAGATAAATAGAATGATAGTAATAAAAAAGATGAAAGGAATAATAATAATAAAAGAAAAAAAAAAAATTAATTATTAAATAAATATATTATAAAAATTAAATATAAACTTTAAAATTATAAAAAATTAATATTAGGCTAAAAGGTTCAATTTAAAATAGTTTAATACTTTTTTAATTATAAAAATCTGATCATTGTAAATTAAAATAGTTAAACTTATTATATAATTACTAAATTATGGAATAGTTTTTAAAAAATATTCAAAATTAGGTTAAATTATATAGATGCTTT